GCCCAGCAGGTCGAGGCTGCGGTGGCCGGGAGCGGCCACTGCACTCCACTCTGAGCGACAGAGTGAGACTCCAACTCAAAAAAAAAAGAAAAAACATTCCAGCTCAAGGATCACCTCCTTAGCGAAGCCCTCCTTGACCACTGCACCCCTCCCTGCTCAGGGTCCCTCCTAATGCCACACCTGATCTTGCACATTCCTGTCTAGCAGCGACAGTCACAACAGCCACCATAGTGAGCACCATGAGTCTGGCACAAAGCCCCTTAGGGACCTCATGTCATTTAATTGTTACGACCCTCCACAGTTACTTACTTGGTGACATTTGCCAACACTGTTCTAAGGGCTTGATCCTCGTGAACTCATTTCACCTTCAGAACAACCTCACAAAGGGGGTACTGTTATTATCCCCATTTACCAGGGCTTTGAGGCTTAAAGAGGTAACAGGTCTGGGATCACAAGTGAGTATTTAGTAGAGAATGAATACAGACCCACCAAACCTCATGTTTTAATTGTTTATCAACATGTTTCTGTCACTGGACTGTGAGTTGGCACAAAGGTGGTCTAGAATGTGTGTATGTTGAAATGTGATGGAGTTATGTATGGTGTGTGTATACCATACATAAACCCCAAAACCCGGGATTTTGTTGATAAAAAATTGTGTATCTGTTCTTACATGTTTTAAGCTTCAGTCACCTTCAAAGTACTCTCTGATGCAATATATCTATCAAGACGCTTTTCCCACTGCTCAGAACAGTTTTAGAACTCGTCAGTCTTGATGACTTTTGGTGCTTCTGCCTTTTTTTGTTTCACCTCTTCCACATTGGCAAAATGTTTCCCTTTGAGTACTTTTTTCATCCGGGAAAACAAAAAAAGGTCGCTTGGGGCGTAATCAGGTGAATAGGGAGGGTGGGGCACAGGAGTCATGCTGTTTTTTGGTCAAAAACTGCTGAACACTCAGTGCGGTGTGGCAGGTGTGCTCATAAATCATCCATCATGAAATGGGCAAACGCATTGAAAGAATCTCCCCTTCCCCCCAAAATTCACTGAAGTCAGATGTAGCCTCTCACAACAACACTAGCTGGTGCACTGGTGCCCATGGGTTCCTAGAACACTCACCTAGCGGGGGAAGCCTGTACTACAAGGAGCCTGTCCTCCAAAAGATAATTCCCGTTTTTTGGGTCTCCCTCGTTTGCCTGGTCGGGGGTGGGGGTCAGTCATGCACATGGACTGAGGGTATGCATCATCTCAGTGAGATTTTGAGAGTGTCCACATATCTTCGTAGTGCACTGAGTGATACAGAAACCCAGGGTATCCTGGGTAAATGGGTGAAACATAGAGCGCAGTCCACACCCTTATTTATTAGGACTGTTATGAAAATGACGGAGGATCTGATAAAGTGACTTGGTGGTAGGGAACGTGACTTGCCAGGGAACAATTAGGAGGGTGTGGGGGGGGGCGGCTGGGTCTTTGTTTTCCTTGTTTGGGAGGACCCTTTTCCTCTCCAAGGGTAAGGGGGGCCAGAAGCCCACTCCCCCTCCCCCAGCCCCACTCAGGCAGTAGTGCTTCCTGCTTCTAGACTCAGAAGAGAACATGAGCTCTGCCCGTGTCAGTCCCACTCCTAGTTCCCCCACACCAGGGTGGACCCTGTGGATCCCTGTGGGTAGGTTAAGGTGGGAAAGATCTGCTGCTAAAATCTACCCCCAGGAGAGGAGAGGGGCTGGTTTTGGCCTGCCTTGCTCTTTGTGGGATGCGGAGCTGTGGCAGTCCAGTGCCCCCTTTAATTCCCAAGTGAAGGGGCTTGGAGCAGGAAAGATCATCCTACATCACAGACACTGGGGGGAGCAACCCCGAGATAATTCTGGAGCCTGGGCCACCTTGCTCTGCCTCCCTGCCCGCCAGCCGGCTGCTGGGTTCCAAGCCCATCCTCGGGGTTGGTCTTCCTGACCACATCTGGGAATAGCCTGGAGACCCTGGTCTGAGAAGCCACTGAGTTGCCCCCACCCACCCTGGGATCCCTTGTGACTGGACTGGGCCCTGATCTTCCCCAGGGGCCGGGCTCTTACCTGGGTGCTAGTGAAGCCTGGTGGCTGGTCCCCCCCGAAGGGGCCGGTCTTTGAGCCGGTGGTCTGGCGCTGGGAGCAGGAGGACAGCGGCCCCTCTGCTAGTGGCCACTGGCACAGCCTGCTAGTGAGCAGGTGGACCCTGTGGTGATGAGGCTGTGGAGGCCACCACGCCTGTGCTCTTTGGACTCTGACGGGTGGGGAGGCCTCCTGGGCCACCACCTACTCCACATCAAGCAGGGTCCGCGGCGGTGCCTGTGCCGACAGTGCCCCGAGCTTAGCCAGAGACTCCCGCTTTCCCAGCCTTCACCTCTGCTCATCTCTGGCCGTGGGGTGTGGCCTCCTCTTTTCTCTGCTTCTTCTGGGGCCCTGGTCAACATCAGCCATGGGGGCTGGGACCATAAGGAGAGGGCATTCATGGCCCTGCCAGTCTGGGTTCTGTGTCAGGGGACGGGTCAGCTGGAGGTGAACCCCAGGCTTGTGCTGTGTGTGTGTGTGTGTGTGTGTGTGTGTGTGTGTGTGAGAGAGAGAGAGAGAGAGAGAGAAAGAGAGAGAGAGAGAGATCAATTGATCGATCGATCCATGGGTGTGTGATCATGTGTGCCCAGGTAGCACCTGTGAGCAAGATATATATCTTATCAAAGAAGGCCTTGTGGGCATTCTGTGGAGAGGTGAGATTTCTTCCCAGCAGGGCCCCCCTCATTCTGACCCCTCTTCTGTCCCTTCCTGCCCAGCAGGGAGCCCTCTCACCTGCCCATTCTCATCCTTTCGCTCTTTTTCCTTTTCCACCCCATTCTGTGCCCTAGAACCCTAGTGGATACCTGGCTGGCTTCAGTTAATATGGGAAACTGAGGCCTGTCTCCATCTCTCTTCCTGACACTGCCCAGTGCCTGTTTTTCATTGTATTTAAAAACTTTCCTTGACACCCAGGGTGGGCCAGGCTCCCTGCCCTCTGGGAGCTCACAGTCTAGCAAGCAAGACCAGGCATAAACAGAAATCAGGGGAGCAAGTTAGGAAGAAAGGGCCAAGGAGGGGAGATGCCCGTGTGGACAGGATCACTATGGGGCAGAGGGCAGCCTCCTGGTGTTGGGTCTGTGATGGACAGTCCTGTGGAGTCTGAGACCCGGGGAACCCCATCTTTGGCTTCCCTGGACCATCCTCGGAGACCCCAGTCTTCTCTCCCGCCCCCACCACAGCCAGCACTGCCCCGGGCGACCTGCAGTCCAGGGGTGGAACCCCAGGGAGAGGCCTTCCCCACCTGCACTGTGAGGGTCCCTGGGAGAACCAGCTTCGGGGGCCCAGGGCCCAGGGCCTGCTGGGTCAGCCCCCAGCCCCATGG